ATAGATAGATAGATAGATAGATAGATAGATAGATAGATAGATAGATACCAGCATCTTGAATCAAGCCTGGAGAAAAAAAAACAGGTGTCCATCCTATCCTTGCATAAAATATCTTTGCATTGTACGGTATGTTCTTGTGTTCTTGCAATTGTATTGGCAGGGTTCAAACATTGCACTGCATGCACGCACACACACACACACACACACACACACACACACACCTCTATTCATTCTTGTTTCAAACATGGCTACAGAGCAAGCTATTCAGATGTGGAATTGAGTGAAAAAGAAAATAAATTCTTTTTTGCCTCAGTTTATGAACAGAAATATATGAAAGGCTTCATGATTTCAAGCTGCTCTTGCTATATAGAGTGATAAGTGCGTGTGTCATAAGCCACTGTTCCCAAACACAAGAATAAGGTAAATCATCCATGGGCTTATATATTTGATTCCCATCAGCCACTGTTAAACTTCTTTTAAATGGCTTCTTTAAGTGTTGGTCGAGTTCATCAAAAGCTTTTGATGAGCTGGGATCTTCCTGGATGTACATTCCCCTACATAAACGGCCTATTTCCAAATATTACCCCATCCTCTACATACATTTTTTTATGTGTAATTTTCCTTTCATCAACAGTGGATGCTTTGGAGAATTTATGAATTAAATGAATGTGCATTAGAGGTTATACTGTTATTCGAAGGTGTCATAATGATTCCTAGAACACAACCTGGGTTTCCTTTGTGGTTTCAATTCAAAATAAAATTGCTCTGAAGATGATTACACATACTGCAAATAAATATTGTCTAAGGACAGAAAAGTCCTACTCGCATATTTTCTGTTATAACCTTAGAGGTTCTAACTGAATTATAATGTTGATAGGTACAATAAATGGATATTAAAATGTATTCTCTGCTGGTGATAAGCTTGGCCTAATGCTAATCTTAAGATGCAAGCAGACCAGGTTTGAGCTGAGTTTCAAAGGAAAGAAGGAAAAGTTCTGTAGTTCTAGTCTCATTGTGGGATAATTGGATCTCTACTCTGTTCTACTCTATTGAGGACTGCCAACTTTGGAAAATGATAAAAACTGAAGTAGGTAAATTTACCATCACCTTTATCAGTGCTAGGTGTTATTATTTGAAATGTTCCACAGAGAATCTTGCAAGCCAATAGATACATTATGAAATGTTCTAGTCAAGTCTGCTCTGAAGTTAGCAGTAACTTACAGTCTATATTCACATGATTTTGGTAATATAATCTGATTTCTGTCAGCTTATTCAAGATCCAGCCCCTCACTAGATGAACCAAAATTGTTAACCCTTCCTTCTCATCCTATTTGTGACTGGAGTGCAAGTCCCATTAAGTTTATCGTAAGCATTTGGCTTTCTCTGTACATATTCTGGAGCAAGTGTATACAGTTTTCTGGTCTAATTTCTCCCCAAATCCTTAACAAAAGTCAAAATCGCTCCTTGACTTCTTTCTTCTGAGCAATGCATGAAAAAAATTGAGCTTGTTGGCTTGGTGTCCTCTCACTTCCTTCACAGTATGTTTATCATACATGTCATGCCTTATAGATAAATTACTCTTGTAGTCAATCCCCTGCCTCATATTATCTCAGTTTGAAAACATTGCGTGATGAAGACTTCTAACTGCAGGAGACAAATGGTTCCAATGATTTCAGTTCTCTCACATCGCCACTCATAAAAGTGGTGTATAGATTCATAAGAAGTCTCAAATGATAAGGGCATAAAGTGTGCAATCTGGGAATTTTGCAATTCCAAAGAACCTCTAATTCTAAGAGAAGTCCAATTATCATATGCCATCCCATAGAAGGGCATTTAGAAGCTATTCCCAGCACAGAAAGTCATTCTTCCAAATACAGAAAAAGTGTGAAGTTTGCCACAAGCAAATATTGGATACATAGCACAGATGAACAATGACAACAAAAAATCAATAACAAGATGGTTTTCAACAAGGATTTATTTTCTTCTGCTTTCTGGAAATATACTACCATTTTATTTGTGATAAACATGGGAATAACTTTATCTAGTAGAGTAAGTGCGCGCACACACACAGAGAGAGAAAAATAAAGAGAAAGAATTTATAGAAACTCGTGCTTAACTTTTATAAAGGAAAAGAAAACTTTGTGATGAAGTTGCATTTAAATAGAAAACCTAAATACCCAAACTGATCAGTTACCCTCCAGATGAATTCATCGAAAGTCACTATTATTTTTAGCCAGCAGGCTCAATGGTTGTGCTAGCTGAGTGTGGTGTGACTAGTCAAATATATCTGGAGGGAAAAAGCTGGAAAAGATTGTCTCCAAGAAATCATAATGAATGGATATAATAAAAAAGAATGTCAACATCAAATGATAATTCTATAAGCTGCCTTGTATAACACTCTTTATCCAATGAGAATATTTATTTGTCAGAAGGGTGTAGATACCAGGATACTGAGGCATTCCACATTTTATACCACAGGACACAATGCCTCTTTGTTCCCCTTTGCATATCAAAGGCCCACCAGAATCACCCTGCGCAAGGGAGAAAAAAGGGTGGGAGAAGAGAACTTTTGCATTATTTGCAGTAGTTGTATTCATTCATTCATTCATTCATTCATTCATTCATTCATTCATTCATTTATTCATTCATTCATTCATTAAATCTCCATGCTGCCCTTCTGACTGATACAGCGACTCTGTATGCTTTTCTCTTTTTAAGGGACAATTATAATACACAATAATGAAGGATTCATGCCATTGCTGCCTCCTGGTTAGACTACTATAGTTCATTTTACAAGGCGCTGCCCCAAAGATGATTCAGAAGCGGCAATTCACACAAAGCGCACTAGCTTTCCCTCTGACTTTTGCTAACCAGCTTAGCCAAACATGGTAACATCTCAGTGGGAGATACTCTGGTTGCTGGCAGGTCCTGTTCAAATTCAAGAGACTTGTTTTTATGTATAAAGCTCTGAGTAGCGTGGGCCTTCGTTATCTCTGGGACTGTATCCTTCCAATTTTGGCTGGCTGGGAGGGGGCCCTGCAAGTGTCTCATTCAGGGGACTGGAAGGAGGGGGGGGGCAGAGGAGGATTTCTCAGTAGGCATTCCCTCACTTTGGAATAGCTTGGCCGGAAGTGGAGAACTATGCTCATCCTGGTTAGAGAATCAAACTTCTGCCCTGAAGCATGTAAAAAAAAGGGGGCAGGACTTTGATTGTCTGGTTTTGGCTTCCATCTTGACTTTTTTTCACCCTCTGCAGCCATCCCCCTCCACCCGACTGAGTGTCTCTCGGTCTCTGTTCTGTTGATCTCTCTCAGTTAAACCTATTTTGCAGAGTTAATGGGGTGAGGAAAAGATGGGAAGAGGGGAATCCTTGATCTGAAAGAGAGGTAGATGGAAATCTACAGAACAGACAAATAAACCTAAATCTAAAATGGCACTGTATTTCTGATGTTACATATATACTTGTCCCCCCTGCGTATTTCACTATTTCAGAATATGAGTTAAAGCCAAAATGTATTTTTTCCCAACACTTTTGAAGGAAACGTGGAGAGGAAAGGAGATGGGAGGGGAGGGGAGGGGAGAGGGGAAGAGAGGGGAGATGGGAGGAGAGACGGAAGGGGAGGGGAGAGTGAAGGGGAGAGAAGAGGGGAGGAGAGGAGAAGGGTGTACCTGTATGCATGTATCTCTTTGCGTGTTTGTGCTTTAGCTTACTCCCATCACTGCCAGCCATACCCTTTTTTGATGAGGAAATGACCAAATGCTTTTAGCTGTATAAAGATACAATCTATTCTACAAGTGTGGATCCTAAATAGGTGGAGAATGTAGCCACATTTAGGCAGACAACGTGCCAGCTGCACTTCAGACTAGTGTTCTGAAAAATGCACAAATTCTGCTTTCCATATACTATTTTTGAGTTTCAAAAATTCACAGCACGTAGATAGATATACTTACATAACATGCATCCTTGCCTCCTTTCTTGTCACCAGCACAGACCATATTCTTTGTCACTAAAAGCCGAGAATTATAGTGCTTTTGATCATTGCAGATGCTTCTTGCAATGACAGTAACATTAACTTCACGGAGGACATCTGATGGTGTTTTGCTTCCACTCTTAGTAATCCCCCAACCAGCTACCAGACACTGTGTTCCTGCCTTGAGGTCACTAGACACCCGAGGAAGCTTGACGATAGCGACATTCTTGTCAAGTTTTGCTTGTTTATTAAGCTTAAATGGAACAAGAGAGAAGGCATAAGAGATTAGTCCTTACATTAACAGTCAATATGGAGTCTAATGCATTGTATGTTAGACTTGTACCTTGGAGAGTCACCGCATCTCAGCCTGACTTACATTACAATATTGTGCCGATGCAATGAGCCTGAGAATTTATACCATCGGAGCCCCTTGCAATAAAAACAAATGGTAATAGGAATAGTAACAACATTAATACTTTGAACTTCTTCAATATGTGTAATTTTAACCTGCTGATCATTTATATAGAAATATGAATTCCTTCCTCCTGCTCTCCTTCTCTGAAATGAAAGGGAAAAGAATGTTTCCAACACATAAGTGTGAGAATATTCTTTATTCCACTGATACCATTGTCAGTGGTGGTTCCTATCAACTGGTCCTCAACTCTCAGGCTCCTCTTATGGGTTGCTTGTCAGCCCTTTGAAGTAGGCCAGATCAACAAAATGGGTAAATAATTTTTCTTTTTCTCCCCCTCCCTTCTCAAGGCTAGAGATAAATCCCTTGTACACTGCTTTCTGCATGAGTACATACATCTATGTCAAGGCAATCACTGTCTATTCCCTAGGAAAGAAAAAAACCTTAGCTCCATAGATTCAGAGAAATGGTACTTTTACTAGGAGGGAACTGAATGCAATAAGTTTCAGGCAAGATGTAAGGCAAAAGTGTGTGAAGCAGCAAATTGAAACAAACTGTAGAGCCCAACCCCCTTGTAGCTAGGCAAATCTTTCTGCTGCATACCAAAACTAGATGGAATGATCTTGGAGAGATAACCAAAGCCCAGACCGTAGTTGCAAAGCTGAAATGAAATATTCACCACTGACTCTACCCCCATGGCAGCTAGCAGCAGGCTAGCTGACATTCAGCCCCCAGTAATAGAGGCTTTAGCCATACATATACAAGTAAAACAAACAACACATCTCAACAATGATCTCAACAATCTCAACAATCTCCAATCCAGGTAGTCCTCAATTTACAATCATTTGTTTAACTGGTATTTGAGATTATGATGGCACTCAGAAAAGTGACTTATGACCAGCTCTTCCTGTGGTCACGTGATCAAAATTTGGGCCCTTGGCAAATGGCATGGATTTATGACAGTTGCAGCAGCCTAAGGTCATATGATTGCCATTTGCAGACTTCCTAGATGTCTTCTGACAAGTAGAGTCTGGGGGGAAGCTGGATTTGAATGCTTCACTTAATACCTGCAATGATTTGCTTAATAACCATAGCAAAAAAGGTCATAAAATTTAGCATGATTTATTTAGCAACTACTTTACTTATCAATGGCAGTTCCAGTCCCAAATGTGGCTGTAAACCAAGGATTCCCTGTACCCATAAAGAAAAGGAGAAACTATTCTTGCTGTCATTCACATGTATATTAATTATATATATCCTTTAGAATATACCTGAAGAAGCATAATGTCATTCTCCCTTGTGCCGGAATCATAGCATGGATGAGGAATGTGCTTATTAATTTTGAAAACTTGTTTTGTTGTGTCTTTTTCTGAATGAATTCCAAGAATAACTTCAGTGTTTTTTGTTCTAAAAAGCAGAGGATAAATAAGTACTGAGTAAAGTTCATTTCGAGCAAGACTAATACATTATAATCTCAGCTGAAGAATATTACGTTTTATCATTTGGCAGTTCAATCCCTGTGTTTCTTCAGAAGTAAATTCTACTGTATTTAACATTGTTTATTTCCTGGCACATAAATTTAAGATTTAGAGACAGCAGGTTTAGGTACAGTATATTGGAGTATTATTTCAACAGTGAAAGTAAATATATTTTTGATACAAGATGTAAAATACTTTCAATGGCCTATTTCTGGTTATGTTCAATAATAAATTACAATACAGGAACATTCATACATACATGGAGGTTGAAAATCAAAGGGAGATCAAATTATATGCAATTTTCACAAGAACAATAACACCAGTAATGGGCAAAGCATCATGCACTATTAATGTCATGTTTTGCTCTACATGAAAAAGAAGTATTTGTAAGAGGGCTTTTGAGAGAACAGATATTCTCTAATATCATCTATGAAAGTTGATTCCAATTTCTGACTAATAAGTATGCCAGCACAATCTTGTCTGCTATTTTACCCAGGTTTTTGGTTTATCCCAGTTTTTTCCTACTGTGACTTCTGGCCCATCATCTGATACAGTTAATCAGAGTTGGAAGGGACCTTGTAGTTCATCTAGTCCAATCCCCCGCCCAAGTGGGGCACCCTACACCATTTCTGACAAATGGCAGTCCAATCTCTTCTTGAAAGTCTCAAGTGATGGTGCTCCCACAACTTCCGAGGGCAAGCTGTTCCATCTGGTCAGACCCTGATCACCTAAACAAGATTTTTTGGGGTAGTGGTGGTGGGGATGAGATCAGAATTATTCCTATTGGGTTTTATGATCATGGAATTAGAAAAGAAGTATGAGAAATCAATATTGCATATGGTAACTCTGGCAAGATTAATGCATGTCAAAGGTTGGGAAAGTAATGAAGTACCTACGATGGAAGATGGATTATAACATTAACTGAATTTGCAAAAATAGCAAAGCCCTTCTAGTCTGGGTATAGGAAAATAATAAAATAATAAAAATAATTTCTTTTGAAAAACTGGAAACCTCACATGGAGTTTTTGTTGAAAGAAGAAAATATAAAATTGATGATTTCTTCATTTGGGTCAAAGAGAATGGTGAAAATAATAAAGTGATAATTGATGGAAAGAATGTGTATTTTCCTCTCTTTTAATTCCTTTTCTGTTTTTCCCCCTTTTCTTATTTTCAATCTCTTTTTGTACATATTTATTGTATTGAAAAATTCTAGTACCATGCACATAGGCACATACACATATACACAAACATAGATTGGTTTTCTTTGTTTCATTGTCACCCTAGAATTTATGCCAAGAAGTTGAAATAATGAACAATTTACCTGAGAGATGACAAATTTGCTTGGATCTAAACTTTAGGTTTTGCTCATCCCTAAATTGCAGGGCTATGTTATGCTTGAAAAAATATATATAAATAAAACAAGATTTTAAAAATAAATAAATAAAAACCTAGCAACACTTCCAAACTTACATGTTGCAGTGAGCTGCTGTTAATACCCAGTTTGATTTGATCAGGGTTCCCCCACAAATACTCGAGCCTTTGATCTTGGCCATAAAAGGTCTTGAATGTGGAACTGATTCTTTTCCACCAATGATCTGGACACAGTGATCTGAATAGAAGGAAGAAGCCAAGCTAATCACCAGTTACAAAATATAACTTTAAGATATACCCATTAGCTAAAGAGGAAAAAGAAGCCAACACAACATGTGAATGTTTCATCATACAAAGTGCTCCACAGTTTGGGTTATGGTGGAGTATCACCAACCAACCAAAGCAATCTTGCTTTTTTGCACTTATTAACACATTTCACACCTTTGGATTGTAGCACTTCCAGTTTTGGCACGGTTATCTTGGACTTTCAGGGATTATACCTGGAGGACACCAGATTGAAGAAGTACGGTTACATACCCTGAAGCATATAGAAATGTGGAGATTGCTGGGTCCTTCTATTGTGCTTGGTAATAGCTAAATGTAATGATTAATTTTCAGGCTTCTGTAAAAAGTGTAATTTTTGTATGACATGTATACTGAATATCTCAATGAATTGTGATATGCCTCTACAAGAGCATTACTGCACAATGTTACTGGATAGCCTGACAATCCTATTCTAAAAAACTAAATGTTCTGGATGCTTTCTAGACAATATTAAGCAAGTGTGATTCTCCTAAAATTAAGTACCAATTAATTTTAAATTAAAGTTTAAATTAAACTTAATAAACTAAGTTTATTATTTGCATTGTATCCATCAATAAAGACATTTGATTTAAATCAAAAATCTTTATTGATGGATACAATGCAAAATTATCTAATAATTGTTTTATTTATTTTGTGCTATATTGAAAGAAATAGAATTGAGAGAACAAGAATGAAAGAGGAAGGAACAGAGAAAAGGTAAGAAAATAACAACAAAAATTCTTTGTCTCTCTCTCTCTCTCTCTCTCCCCCCCACATCTAGGCCTTTGCTAAAGAAGATTGACACTTCTTTTTTCCTGTTCTCATCTGGGTTTGTATTCTCTGCCAACACTTTCCCAATAACCAATTTAGTAGTCACATCTCCAGTTAATCAACAGAACTGACAGGACAGCTCCGCTGCAGCGAGACTCAAAGGGAGAAAGAAATACAAAGGGAGTGAACTTATTCATTACTGATAAGGACTATTCACATTGCCCTTGTACTTAGAAACAATGGGTTTCTGATGCAACAATATAAACCCTTAATAATTAAATATTGCAATTTGTATGCATGGATAAACCTGGCATTTTACTGAAGTTATCTTTTCCTGATACAATTCTAAACTCTGGCATTATGTGGGTTAAATGTGATATGGTCATAAGCAAAACTCTCATTGGTCTGGTACAACAATGTATTAATGTTAATCACACCTGCCATTTAATGCATGATTCTCAGCCCGTGAGGTTGCATGAACAGGTGAAAATATGTCAGATTTGGACTTTGGACCTCTTCTGTGTATATGTATGTGTGTGTTTGTGCATGTATATAAAACTATATGCAGTATGTATCTCCTGAATCTTACAATAGTTGATTTTTTTCATTACTCATGGCTTTTCTAGTATCTGTAATAAAGTATCTTCTTAACAACTGTAGCTTTGAATCTCTCCTGTGGGCCTTCTACTGCCAGTATCAGTTCTGCCTGAAGGAGACCTGAGCTATTTTCTCTTCATCACTGCCCAAATTCAAGGAGACATCCATACCTTTGAAACAAACTATGCAGCTTATCTGCTCACCCTTTCATTGATTGTTCTGAAGTGACATTATCAGCGATAAAAAGAACAAAAAAAGTAATATAATTTAGCACTTACCTCTGGGAATGCCGAGGAGAAAAATCACAACAGTAAACCACAAGCCCATTAGAAGAACCATCTTTGCTTTTTTGTGTTTCTCCACATCAAAGTACAGAATGTGTACTTTGAGGATAGTACATCAAAGTACAGAATATATATACACACTGAGGATGGTAAGGAAGTGGTTGTTGGTTTCATCCTATAAAGGGTGTTCTTTTACACATTGTGAAACTGGAACATCACTAAGATGTTCAAAATTATTTTCTCTTTCATTTCTAGTATGAAGACTTTGTCATACTTAACTAACATGGTTAATGAGGTGGAAAACAAAAGATATGAGAGAATACTTGTTAGGTTTTCAGGTTTGCATTTAACTGTGTGTGAGAGAAATGTGTGGTTTGGGTTGCTGAGTAAAAAATGTAGGGCAAGGCTATTGAACCAAGTAAAACATCATATGTAGGTTTCCTCTTTACTCAGAGAAAAGGTTGCATTAATAAAAGAAATATGAGTTTCCTGAAAATATTCAGTCTACATAAGTGAAAATAAAATGTTTGATGTGCGGCTGCTCCTCCAGCTCCATTTTGAGAATATCATCATATACAATGAAGAGATTCTCTAGACAACTCTTATTAATTTGTTGAGTGACAATTCTGCATGGACAATTCTGATGAAACAAAAGTCATTCTAAATATAACTTGTTTTGTGTGTCTTCCTCTCCCATCATTTCCATTAACAAAGACAATCCCGTTTTTGCTTTTGAAATGCTTAAAATTTCAAAGTCATAGTCCAATTGTTATTGGGCGACTACCCTAAGCTCTCTAGTGTTTCTGCCATCCATGGAGTTGGTCTGTTTTTGGAAGGATTTTTCATTACTCCTCTTTGCTCAAGCATTTCATATCCATTAGAAAACCAGGCATTGTATCATCTTTATAAAGTCTCCTCTCTATCTCATCCTAGAAAAAGTTAGTGTCTTTCGTTATATTCATGGAATTGCAATGCTGTCGATATGCTATTTACTGCAGCTCAGAAAGGTTTCAGTAAAGCAAGCACAACTATACTGCCAAGCCTGTTATCAATTTGGAGCATATACGTATGAATGCTTGTAACCATACAGAAAGTTTCATGCTGGTCATTTGAAGACCAGATTTAACATCATAGCCATCATGTGCCATGCTGCTACATCTATTTATCTTGCAAGCTGTAAAATGCTTTCCCATGCAATTAGTGTCTCCATTTGCAGATAAGGAATTATGCCAGTTTAATTGGGTGGGCAGCTGAGTGAAAAATGGGCAAATTTGTTTGAGAGATAATGGCGTCTTTCTTCTCTACCTCATGAATATAACGTGGCAAGCTCCTTCTAGGCTTCCTATTGCATTGGCTTCATGTTCAATAAACTGGGATGGAGAGATCTTAGCGATTTGGTTAATTTAGTTACCCGTGGGTCTAGGGGAATCTGCAGAGGGGGTTAAAAAAGGCAAGATGGTGACTGTGAATGCACGGTTGAAGCTCCACATGTTTTTACATGTGTCGCACTAAAAGGCACATAAAAAAGAGAAGGTGGCTTGATCATTGAGACACAATCACCACCTTGATTTTCTTAAAGTCCTCCTCCTATATGGATCCCCCAGGGGTCATAGCCATTTCTCCTTCCATATTATCAGTTGAAATAGCATCTTAGTCTGCTGTCCATAGGATAGTCAAAAAGTGAGAACCATAGTTTGTCGGGCAGAATGTTGGAACAAAGATGTCAGCCAATAAAAAGATAAAAAAATACAGAACAATGTCTTAAATCATCAGAGAGATGAAAGAAGCAGCATAATGAAACTGCAATGGGTTTAAAGAGGAAATTGCACCTTTAAGAAAGAGCAACCAACTATTTCAGTGGCTTCTTCCTAAAATTGGGTTGAATGCTTATCTAGCCATGCTTAAGACAAATATGAACTTAGAGCCTAGTTAAAATTTGCTAAGGACTAGAAAATTCTTATACTAGCATAGTAAGTTGTTCTAACATTTACTCATACATGCAACCTTCTACAATGCTGTTACAAATCTGGGACTGGAACAACTAGTAACCAACAATACTAGACTTAACAACTACCTCAATCTCATCTCCTGCAATAGTTTGAATTTAATTTATGGAATACAAACTAAAGAACCCTTTTCCAACAGTGACCACAATATGATTGACTTTTGTCTCAACATACGCCCACACAAAAATCATCACAATGACGTAATCCCCAATGATAACTTCAAAAAAAGGCAGCTATGATCTTATAGACAACAATCTCTCATCTCTTGATTGGCAATCTCTATTCACTGGATGCAATACTGTTGAAGATCATTACAACATATTTTTACTTGAAGTCAAAAGAGTCATCAAACTATACGTACCAACAACAACTCCCAAAACAAAAACAAAAAAAAACCCAGATTGCCCATAACAATAAGGAAATCCAAAAAGAAATCACTCTGGCAGAAAACCAAATCTGGTCACGTTGCCAACTTCAAAAGCTGATACAAAAATTTATGCCACCAGATAAAGACTGAGTGCACCAATTATCACATTAAACAAGAGAAAAACCTTCTACTCACCAATTCCACCCACACTTTTTACAATTTTGTAAACAACAAACTAAAAGACTCAAAGTCCATCCCATCCCTGAAAGGACCTAATGGTAAAGACTGCAATGATACACCATTAAAGCCAACCACTTTAACACATTCTTTGGCTCAGTATTTGTAAACAGCAATGGATCATGCCCAGTATTTCCTAGCCAAACCACAGAAAACTACAATGATCTAATACATATCAATCTTACAGAAGACATTGTTGAAAAAGCACTACGCAATCTAAAACCATCTCTATCTGTTGGACCGGATGGAATATGTGCCCACTTCTTAAAAAGGCTATCCACTGCCATAGCCAAACCTCTAAGCATAATCTTTGAAAAATCTTTCAGGACCAGCTCCTTGCCTAACCTATGGTCACAAGCCACATTCATCCCCATCTTCAAAAAGGGAGACCCCAGTCTAGTTGAAAATTACAGACCAATCTCCTTATGCTGCATCACCTGTAAAGTCATGGAATCAATTATTAACCAATCCATTATCCTCCACTTAAAGACAAACAACCTACTCTCTAATAAACGATTTGGTTTCAGAAAAAAACTATCATATAATCTGCAACTCTTACACTGCAAAAACATATGGACTACACAACTCGATCAGGGCAAAACAATAGACGCAATCTACATAGACTTCTGTAAAACCTTTGATTCAGTGGTACATGACAAACTACTCCTAAAACGAAAATCCTATGGTATCTCCGGAAAACTGCATAACTGGCTAGAAGCATTCCTGTCAAACGGAAAACAAATGGTCAAAATTTGGAGTGTCCTATCAAATTCTGTACCTGTCAATAGTGGTGTCTCCCAAGGCAGTGTTCTAGGACCAACTCTCTTCATACTCTACATAAATGACCTCTGTGATCATATTAAGAGCAACTGCATTCTTTTCGCTGCTGATGTAAAGCTATTCAACACCACAGACAATACTGCTACCCTTCAAAAATACCTCGACTATGTGTCAGAATGGTCAAACAAATGGCAACTTCAAATCTCAACAAATAAATGCTCTGTCTTACATATTGGCAAAAAAAAAATCAGAAAATAAAATACAAGCTGAACAGTCAAGACCTTGTTGATGATCCAAACTCTGTAAAGGACCTTGGAATACTCATCTCTAATGATCTAAGTGCTAGAGCCCACTGTAACTACATAGCTAAAAAGGCATTAAGAGTTGTTAACCTAATCCTACGTAGCTTTTTCTCTGGTAATATCATACTACTAACTAGAGCATACAAAACATTTGCTAGACCAATACTCGAATAGAGATCATCAGTCTGGAACCCCATTATGTATCTGATATTAGCATAGTTGAGAAAGTCCAGAAATATTTCACAAGAAGAGTTCTCCACTCCTCTACTCGTTGTAGAACACCTTATGCCACCAGACTTGAAATTTTAGACCTAGAAAACCTTGAATTACACCATTTTCGGTCTGATCTAAGTATGGTATATAAAATCATACATTGCAATGACTTACCTGTCAATGAATACTTCAGCTTCAACCATAACAGCACAAGAGCACACAATAGATACAAAGTCAAGGTTAATTGAACCAAACTTGATTGCAGGAAATACCACTTCAGCAACAGAGTGGTCAATGTCTGGAATACTCTACCTGACTCTGTGGTTTCTTCCCCAAACTCCAAAAACTTTAACCTTAGACGGTCTACTATTGACCTCACCCCTTTCCTAAGAGGTCTGTAGGGGCCATGCATAAGCGCACCAATGTGCCTACCGTCCTTGTCCTATTGTTTCTTTTATTTTTCTTATATGTACCCATTTCATGTATTCATAACTATGTATATACTTATACCTATTATCTTGTAAGCGATTGACAAATCAAAGTAAATAAAAAATAGAGAAAGTATAGAAATTATCTCAGAGTAACACTGAGTTAACACCACATATTTTTCTGCCCACTAGAGGGCTCACAAATACATATATATCTTGTATATTTAGTCATGTTGCTGGTTTACATTGTTCACTTATCCGTTTCTAGTTAGATGGGACATTTTACCATCTTTCCAATAAACTCAGTTTCCAAAGAGTTCTTATATTATCAGATTACACAAGTTATACTCTATCCAAGTTTACCTGCCTTATTGCTATCAAGTTGCAGAAGATACTATAAAGGTACTCTTTTAGAAGGAAGGTTGCAGTCTACCTAATAGTCATTTCTGGGGGCAAATGTCCTTGTGCTGAAGACTAAACTTTTGCCCTATAAGTGTAAAAATATAGGGCATTCTGGTGATGTAATGGTAGGTAGGTGGAAAGATCTGGGAGACCAGGCAAAGAGACACTGGTCAGATATGGTCAGATAAGAGTCAGAAAATCTCACAGCTACATGATAGGCAGAGGAAGAGACTCAAAAGAGACCCTCCCTAGTTTCTTGTGCTCAAAGGAGATGGGGGAGAATTGAACTTCTAGACTTGCATGATTCTGTCAATTTAGCCTTATAAAAAAGTGGGATTAGGTTATCTGGTTGTGATACCTGTTTCGTTTTTCTTGGTGAGGA